AAAGTGTTACTCCTTTCTTTTTAATGTACTATTAGCTTATGGCATTTACTTCAAGTTGATAATATTCTCGCTGCCAGAACTAACTGCTCCGTAATTAAAAAGTTGGAGTGGTAAAACGCGAGCCTTTCAAGTCATTTTGGGATATATTTGTTCAGTTATTACATGTGTCTGTGTGTTTTTATGTATTTCCTGCATCTACGCAATGCAAAAATGCCCTGTGTTAAGAGATTGTCAGTATGTGTATGTATGTGTGGGTGCGTGTGTATGTGTGGGTATGTGTATGCGTGGGTGTATGTGTAAGTGTCTCTATGTGTGGCGGTGCGTATGTATAGGTGCGTGCATGTGTGCAGATATTTATGTGTGGGTGTGTTCGAACTTTTATCGCCCACATTCAACTCAACAACCGTAACAGCTAGAAAGCTGGAATTTTACAGAAATGTTCCTAGCCTACATGCCGTTCAAGCAGTTTAAAAACAGCGTTCATATACACTTGGGTTTTTATGCGTTCTGGTTTATTTCTTTTCGTGTAAATTCATGGAATGATTATTTTACAGGAGATTTGCACAGCAGTGGAAATGGGATGCCCGCCTTGCTACGACAGATTTTACACAAGCATTCGGTGTCCACACTGCCAGCTCTGCCCACTCAAGGAGTACTGAGCGCGGACCAGATTGAAGAGCAATATTTGACTGGAGACGACGAAAAGAAAAATGCGGCGGCAGCGCCATCGGGGAAAGCTGGATCCGGAAATGAAAAACAGAAAATGTAACTGTTTTTTTTTTTTTTTTTCATTCGTTCAGTTATCGTGAACGTCTCACCTCAGAGGTTTGCTAAAGTTATTTTTTTATGATGACAAACAACTGCAAATTGAATTAGCGGGATTTGACGTTTGTTAGGAGACTCAGCCGCTCTGGCATTTGGTGCGGGATCGTTTTTAGTAATGTTAATGCGCTGTTGTCATCGGCTGTTGTTCATCGTGAACTTTGTTTGTTGACTAATAATAATTCCTTTTGAGAAAAGAAGCAGTTCGTGTGATTTTTTAGATCTCGAATTCTACCATTCTTGTGCAACAGTGTATTATTTGATTCTTATCCGTTCTTGTTCTTAGTCGAGTTTTTGGGAATTATACCAAATTTAGTGCCACCTGCGAGTCTTCATCAGTATCGAAAGCGGATGAAAGTGGCGGCTCTCTACCGATGAATAGTGTGGCTTGTCGAACTCAAAATCAGACATCTCCTTGCTCATTGGACGCTGAAAATTCGGTTTGTACTTTCAGCCCATTTTTTTTTTT